TGAGAACACAGCGACCTCCACGCATTCGGCCAGGTTCAAACACGGCGAGGGCCCAGACGCTGCAGAGCAGGGTCGGGGTCTGCCTCAGACAGTCAGGCAGGTCCCAGCGAGGGCAGGTGCAAGTCCCCGGAGAGGACCTGGGCGCCAGGCGAGTGCCGAGGCCTGCGGACACCTGGACACCTGCACTCACTCGCTTCCAACAAACCAAAGGGAACCACAAGTGAAGGTGCTTGAAGGAGCGCAAAATATTTTATTCAACAATTTGCAATGTAACAATTCTCATTTAGGAAAAATAGCCGCTCCCGCCTGGAGGAAGCTTCTTGAATCAAAAGTCGTGGCAGTCGACCCCAGAACAGCGGGCAGGGCCGACCGGAAGAGGTCCCAGGAATCACAGGAGCTGACCAAGGAACAGAGAGGGCTGCCCCGTCACAGGGACTGGCCTTTCTCCAAGTGACAAGGACAAATGGATCCAGCGGGACACGCCTGTGAAACATTTTGGAAAACATCCTGGGTGGTCTGGGCTAAATGATCAAGTGAAACAGAAAGTCAGGAAGGGCCTGTGCTAATTCCACATTCTACAATTTCTATACTTAAATTTAAACACCAAACAGTTTATGTTTCCCCAGCAGAACCTACAGAAATTATCTACTGATTTTTATTAGTATTTAAATCTTTTCTTCAGTCTCTTTAGACTTGACAAGAATACGAAGAGTTTTCAGAACAGTCAGAGAAGCCTTAAAGCTTTGCATCAGTGAGAGGAGGCCCCTCTCTGAGTTCAACAGGGCTGAGTCCACCAGGAGCTACTCAAAGTCTCAGTGTGGCAAAACTTGGGGCAGAAATAAGTTCCAGAGCAGCTGTCAAGAAACTGTGTTAAGATACTCTCCCCAAGATGTTACCAACCCCTGAACCAATGTCCCCCAGGTGAGAAAGTGGGTCACGTGGATTGCACCAGGAAAAGTGCAGCCTTTTAGAGAACTGCATCCAGCCCCCTTCACAATGAGTCTAACCATGCTCCTACACGCAAAATGAAGCCCAAATCAAACATCACACCGTCGGTTTTCACCCTGGATGACCACCCTGAGCCATCGTGTCAGACAGCCGGCTCCCTGGGGCTCCTTCCCAGTGACTGGGCCACACGGTGGGCAGTCGCCGGTGCTTTGGGTGAACAAAATCACCCATGGTCCTCATCAGGCCACAGAAAGTAAAGTGAGGCTGGAAACGTCTTTGTTACAGGAAAGAAATTCACTTCAGTAACTAGGGCCTCTCTCAAAAACTGAACTAATGCCGAAGGAACCCCGAGGCTCCTCAGAGACGCTGACTGAGAACACAGCGACCTCCACGCATTCGGCCAGGTTCAAACACGGCGAGGGCCCAGACGCTGCAGAGCAGGGTCGGGGTCTGCCTCAGACAGTCACTCTTTGCTCCCAGCACCTTAAAGGAAGTGCGGGACTCACTGGGCAGGGACTCACAGCTCGGCTTGGAGAGGCCCTGGCTGCTACCGACTGTGTGGCTCTCCTGTGGCAGAGACAGCTCCAGCCGAATGAACATTCCTAAATGACCAGGAATGCTACATCCTTAAATCATCCTAAACGACTAAGAAAGTCACATCATTCTTTTCGGCAAACAATTCTGAGTCAAAGATTCAGTCTTTCCATCCAGTATCTGAGAGGATGGTGGAATTAATTTTCAAAATAATTCATTATGATGGGCGGTGAGGAGGGAGGCACAGCGTGGGACCAGCTCTGAGTCACTGCTGTGTCTCCCTGGGGGCGGGACGGAGATCGCGGCGGTCGGTCGGGTTCTTCGGGGAGAACAGCAGCGTCAGGGCTCCAAGTGCAAGTTCACAGCAGGGCAAGCCTAGTTCAGCACCAGGTGCTTCCTCTGGTCAATTCTCCCTAGCCTTGAGCTCCCGGAGGTGGCGCAGGCCTGGAACAAAATCAACAGCATGACCTCTGCATGCCTGCCCCCAGGGTGGGCAGTGCCCGGGCGCAGCGTGACAGGGGCTGGTCCACATAATGAACTGCATGGGCCATTGGCGCCGACAAGCTGAAGGCTTCGTTTTTGTTCCTCAAAAGCCTCTGGAAACCGACAAGTCAGTGCCAAGTCCTGGGCTCCCTTGAAAGCACCGAGTCCTGGCCGGGCGCGGTGGCTCAAGCCTGTAATCCCAGCACTTTGGGAGGCCGAGACAGGCAGATCACGAGGTCAGGAGATCGAGACCATCCTGGCGAACACCGTGAAACCCCGTCTCTACTAAAAAAAAATACAAAAAACTAGCCAGGCGAGGTGGCGGGCGCCTGTAGTCCCAGCTACTCGGGAGGCTGAGACTGGAGAATGGCGTAAACCTGGGAGGCGGAGTTTGCAGTGAGCTGAGATCCGGCCACTGCACTCCAGCCTGGGCTACAGAGCGAGACTCCGTCTCAAAAAAAAAAAAAAAAAAAAAGAAAGCACCGAGTCCTTAACCATCAGTGTTTACTGTGAGGGTCGCCCGGAGGTGCTGTGGTTTCGTCAGGGCCATGAGACCCAGAGCTGCTCTGCAGAGCCAGCCTGGCTGTCCGGAGTCCCGGGAGGAGTGGTAGCCAGGCCTGGCCACTGCAGGGGACGCGGGGACCCCAGGTGCAGACAGCCAGCCAATGCAGGCATCCATTCTTACTCCCTTGCAAAGCCTCATGGAGGGGAAAGCCAAGGAATTTGTGTAAAGGCACTAACTACATGGCAAAGGAAGCAGGACAACACCAAAATCGACTAGTCTGGATGCCGAAAAGCAGGTGACAGCCAGGGGCAGCTGCAGGGAGTGGTCCTGGGAGCCTCGGCCTTGTTTGTAGAGGACCAGGGCAGGAATGCTGGGTCCCAGCCCAGGAAGCCTGCGCTCAAGAGTGTCTGAGGCCGTGAGGAGTGTGTGAGGCCGTGAGGAGTGTGTGAGGCCGTGAGGGCAGGCTGGGGTGACGATGGGGCTGAATCCCAAGATGCCCCAGACCTCGGCCCCCGCTTGGCTCCCCTCCACTGACAGCCAGTCTATACTCCACAGGCAAGGGAGAGGGGAGGAAAGACGAGGCTGAGGGAGGGAAACCGCAGAAAACATTCTAGAACACTCCCCAGCGAAGGGCATGCATTCAGGCCCAAGGGGGCTGAGGGGGAAGCCCTGCAGGTCCCAGGGAAACAGGACCCCGAAAGGGGCTGCAGGCAGAATGGACCTGGAATCTCGGCAACCACAGGCACCAGGAAACCTAAGGCCACTTGCAGTTCTGAAGAAAGCAACTTTGGCCCAAGAATGCTACCAGCCAGCCAGCCAGAGAGGCCGGAGAAGAAAGACGGCTCCAGACATGAAAGGCTTCTCCCAAGTCACCCCGGGACCTTTCTGTCAAGAAGCTTCTAGGAAAAAGAAATAATAAACATACAAAAAAAGCAAGAGCTACTGGAGGATGTGTGTCACCAAGACAAACGGAGTAACTAAGAAAGGCAGCAACACAGGATTCCAAAGCTGCGGGACCCACTCTGGCAGACTCAGGTGCCCAGGCCAAGGGAGGAGAGAACACACTTGGCTCAGAGACCACAGGCTCCAGGAGGACAGAACAGCAGACGTGGCAGAGCTGGGGGCTGAATGAGGGATACACAAGTAGAAAGCCAAGCACATTTTACAAACTGCAACCTAGAAAAAGGCAAAGCGAATGCAGGAGCACGGAGGGTCTGGTGTCCACACAGGGCCCCACACGGGAGCACCGAGGGCCTGGTGTCCACAAAGGGCCCCACACGGGAGCGCTGAGGGCCTGGTGTCCACACAGAGGGAGAAATGGCAGCCGGGGAGGGCCCAGCATGGCTCCTCACAGTGCCCTGTGGACTGCCACACAGTAGGTGTGCAACTTTCATTCAGAAAAGAGAAGCTGGGCACGGTGGCTCACGCCTATAATCCCAGCGCTTTGGGAAGCCAAGGTGGGAAGATCGCTTGAGCCTAGTAGTTTAAGACCAGCCTAGGCAACGAGGTGAGACCCTGTCTCTATAAAACATACAAAAATTTGCCAGGTGTGCTGACCGCGCCTGGAGTCCCAGCCATTCAGGAGGCCGAGGCAGGAGGATTGCTTCAGCCCAGGAGGTTAAGGCTGCAGTGAGCTGAGATCAGAGACTGTACCACGACACTCCAGCCTGGGCAACAGAGCGAGACCCTGTCTCAATAAATGTGTGTGTATATGTGTGTGTGTGTGTGT